TTTCAAACACTTTGACGCTGACATATTCAGGGCACTGCCTAAACAATTTCAATAAACAGACTGTTGGAAAATCTAATAAGCAGAGCGTAAATTTTTTTGGCAGAATCTGATAAAAAACATGCACAAAAGTGACTTCTGTCTGAGGATGCTTTATATAAAGAAAACAAATATTGACAGAATTTTTCTTCACTCATGAGAAGAAAACCTCCTGAAGCCATAAATCTTCACAGGCCTCTTTACAAAATACCCATTTAATGCATGGAATACCGGGATATTGATCTATAAAAGAACAAGAAATTGGGCGAGAGGGGAACAACATCGCAAAAAAAGCTGTAGCACATGCAGCTGGCTGGACAGAGGTGCTTCGTTGTTGAAACCAGTGAAAATGTACACAGAGTGCAGCCTTGGTACAATGCTTTATCACCCATTGATTTACAAAGCAGTGAGTTTAGGTACAATTTCTGTCAAATGCACCCATTATTGAACGCCAATTGGACCAACTCCAGTGAACTGTGAGCAATGCCAATTTACTCTGTCATGTTTAATATGCTATGATGTTTTTCTACAGCCCAATCAAGTGAAAGTGGACCAACTGTACTTCTCCCTAAAACTCACAGCATATAACGCAATAAAAAGAGTAGAAAAAAAGGGCGGATTCTTATCCGTGTAACTTCTAAAAAAGGTTCTTGGTCAACTCATCTTGGGTCTTTCTGGACTACCAATACCAACTTACATAAATAAGAATTGTTACAAAATTAATATTTTTCTTACTAGTGATTCTATCATAAACTTGAAAATTTTTATTCAATCTAGAGGTATTAAATGTTCACATGTAACTAGCTGCTTCCTGTCAAGTCAGAAAATAAATACAGCATCTGTCAGAGATGCAGAATACCCCTTTTCAAATTTTAGCTTTCAGTTTGACACCACAACATTCATCAGAATAGTGATGAAATGCTGAAACAGATGGATAAATTTGATCACCTGCTTCCATTTTGTTTGCAATTGTGAAATCATTTCTACTCATTCGTGCTGCTGTTATGAAAATACACACTTACTCAAGACCCTGTGCAATAAAGAAAACAATTTGCATTTTAACTCAAATTGCATGTAAAAATCCATTTGTCAGAGGTTGGCTTTAGGAGGTTGTAAACAGACCATTAATGTTCTTCAGAAGGCTATATAATGCAGGAGCTAAGAGAAATAGCTGAAAGGTAGACCACAAGGGCGAAGTTCAAGGGCAACGATTGTAAACATTTACAGAAAAAGGTTACTACAACTATGTAAGTGTTTTATCTGAGTCTACATGTGTGTAAATATGGAAGAGAAAATGACTGGACATTAAAAATATAGTAAAATGAATTTTGCTGCTGCAGAAGGAACTGGTTCAAGATTTTAAAGAAACAAATTAAACAAAAAACAATGTTTACACAAATTAAGTTTTGGACCATCAAATGTTAATTCAATGATATATTTTCATGTGAGAACCTTAGATATTTTAAGTGTGTAAGAGTGCTTTAATTGATGTCATTAGTGTTGAATGAGTTCAAGTACAGAAACAACTCTGAGGGAGGGGGTGTTGTCATAAAGATTTATTGGTTAAGTCCAATTTATCGCTCTTCACAGAACATTAATTTCTAAAAGATTTTTTAAGGTATATTAATTACATTCATTGAAAAAAAAAAAGTAAAATGGCTCTGGATTGCAGGACCTGCCAAATTTCTTTCATGAAAAGTATACTTGTAATCAATATGTGGCAAGGTAATTCTGATTCACTAGTAGCACATAAATGTAACTAAACCATTATCTAAATCTTAATAAATGCTTTTCACAATTCAATTTCACCTCACAGTTTTCAGATAGGTAAATGAAAATGTATTTCCANAAAAAAAAAGTAAAATGGCTCTGGATTGCAGGACCTGCCAAATTTCTTTCATGAAAAGTATACTTGTAATCAATATGTGGCAAGGTAATTCTGATTCACTAGTAGCACATAAATGTAACTAAACCATTATCTAAATCTTAATAAATGCTTTTCACAATTCAACTTCACCTCACAGTTTTCAGATAGGTAAATGAAAATGTATTTCCAGGAAAATGTTTTCCAATATGACAAGGGAAGTATGGTAACTATGGCACTTGACTTCTAGGTAATGTGGTATAAAAGTAATTCTTAACATGATTTCCACGTTTCATCAAATGTCAGTCTACCAGATTGTTTTCCTGGGGGTCCCATTAAGCCATGATATTGTAGATATAAAACAGTAGGATTTCTTTGAGTACATGTTTTCATAACTACAATTACAACGTAAATAAATAATGCGCTCTGTGGTACATTACATTACATCAAGAATCCATCAATACTACAGTTTTCACTGACCTTCATTTCAGTGCTCTAGTGATAATGATGGAATCTTATTTACACATGACAACTATGACAACAATATCATACCCTTCTCATTACAGAATATGACTCATAGAAGCTGTAACACTGGAAACAAGCTATTCTAATGTGTAAATCCTACTTCCACAGTTATGATAAAGGATAGGATATAGTAAATATATGTATTGTTCATTTATTCTCACTGGAGGTTATAAGGGAATGTGCTAGGGATATATGCTATTGCCTATCTCGTAATCTGACCAGTACTGCGTAGAAGAGCAAGAAGTCCTGCTGTTAGGTAAGAGATCCATGGGAGGAAGAGATGTTGTATACAGTTTAATTTCATCTCATTACAGAATTTATGTGTTGTATCTTATATCATAAGGAATGATCACCTGACTAGTAAGTTTTTGTAAGTAAGGTTTAATATTTCCTAACTGGTAGGTTTTAATTAGTTTAAAAAAATGTAAAAGACCTTCAGTTTTGCATTTCACCCGAAACAGGGTCTTACCTTTGAACAAGTTTTCTTACCAAACACCATTATGTTGTTTTATTGATATTTAAGCAGTGTTACTACTGTAGTAAAGACTGAAAAGACATGGACAAAATTTAATGTGGTCATTCTCCGACAAATAATAACTATCAGACAAAGATTTAAAAGACACGGATGAAATTTAACGTGGTTATTCACCGACTAACTTAAGTTGGAAATATTTAAAGTAGATCATTAAAGTTATTTTGACTTAGACTGGGTAACAAGCCATACACAACATCTGCATTCACCATTTATGGACCTTGATCAAGCAGAGGATGTCCTCCTGCACGCATGAGCCATGACTCCAAGACTTGTTATTTAGTCTTGGTAAAAAATATCTGTTTTACCATCCAATCTAAAGACCATAAAAAATGTTTTTTTTTCATAGTATGTATAGCAGTGTTTATAGCGAAGCAGAAATGTTATCAAGTTCATCAGTCACGAGATAAACTAGTTAGTCACCAGAATATGTTATTTATACTGCAAGATTTGTATACCCATCCCAAATAAGCTGAATGAGATTGGTTCAGATCCTTTTATATTTATGTCATGTGTAATGTTTTTCATCCCCATATATGTATAAATACTGGGTACCCGCAGCAGGAGATGCTGTTGTTCTGAGATCAGATGAAACAACTGAATAATAGCATACCCAGTGTTTTTTACATAATATATGGTAATATGGTTGCATGACGAGATACTATCATTTTTTCAGTTATCTAGTAGTCTAAAAGAAAAGCACATAGTTCTGAAAAAGGGTACAAAATTATGGAATTTCACATAGTACTCATGTGAATGGATTTCAATACCTTCCACAAAAAAAAAAAAAAAAAAATTAGAAAATTGACCGATCTAAATGTATTCTTTATTTAAATATAATTCATGCTATACAGGATATAAAATTCCATCACTAAACACCATCTTTTTTCTCCTTCTGATGACATAAACCAGTGCCAGATGGTGTATTGAAGGTGTTAAACAGCTTTCCAAGTGCTTCTCTTATGGAGGGGAATTGAAGGGGAAGACATCAATGTTTCCATGGCAACACCCTCAAGTACACAACATATCCAGTAGACACCTAAACTTCATACTGATCAGGTTTTTAAATCCCATTTCTTTCTGAGTGAACTATTTCTAAAGTTCCATATCTTTTTGAGTGAACTATTTCTTAAGTTTTTCCTTATATATAAATCTGACCTCTGTGGCCATGAAAAGTCAAGGAGAGCATTTGGTCCAACACATCCAAGAGCCCCTTATGAGACTTGAGTTCCAAATAGTATTATACCAGGACAGATTGAAGGACGCAGACATAAAGACAACCTGACTCCAGTATAATCCCAGTTTTATGCAGCTAGTAGAACGAAATAATATCTGATACTTCTTCTCTCAGAAAACATAATACTTCATGAAGCAAGATGCACAAGTTGTCTCATAAATTTGGTGGGATCAATTCATTATTGACTGTGTCATACGAGATCTTTCATAAATGTCAGATTTACAGTTTAATTTTTTTCTGTGTAACTGCAAAAAAATTAGATTAAAATTGCCATATGCCAGTCACAGGAAAAGAAATTTCCTTGTATTAAAAGACAAACACTGTATTTTTGATTTTATGAAAATAAAACAGTTTAATGTAAAATGGAGACTGGGTAAGAGACACTTGGCTGATTTCCTGCCTTCTCAAATAACACCATGGTTCTATTGTATCTGTGATCAATATATCAGCTTGAGTCTTACTATTGCCAGGGATATGTGAGGAGACACTGGTCTCATTTTGTTTCAGAAATGAACGGCAATATGACTATTTTTTATCATCTCTGATCAATAAACCAACATATGGCCTATATAAGAAAATACTCAGTGTAAAAGATATATGTATTTAACATGTTTGTTTTGATAATAAAATCTATAACCATTCAATATGGACAGTTTGAGTTAGAAAAAAATTAATTTTCAAAAATGACTCAGAGGTAAGAAAAGTACAGATTTTTCCCAGAATTTAAAGGACTTTATTCTATGAAACATATGAGTAATTTTTTTCACAATATGATGCTAACGAACTTCAATTTCCTCAATTTACAGGAAATGTGATGTAATTGGCAAGAAGCATGGCTGCACAAGGGAAGAAAAATAATGAACAAAATCATGCAGATTCAATTTTTGACAACTGAACCTCATGGTAAGGAGCCAAAAGGAGAATATTTCCCAGATTTAATATATCACACAGACTGCCATATGTCCATTAGCACCTTTGACATTTGAGAAAATAAAAAGAAAATCACCTGTGACTACACACAGTGGAGGGCAATCTTTGACTATATATTACTTCATATATAACTTCATATAACTTTATACATAGCTTCATAAAGGTTATTGTACTTAACACGCCAACTTTACCACCTGTGTCTGCACATCATTTTTTAATTGATTTTTAAATAGAATCTAAGGCAATTGAAACTTAAGAAACAAAGCTATCATTCAATGCTCAATGCTACAATCTGCTAGACTGATTTAACATGTGCCTCTTACTTAAATCTATGTAACAGAAAAGGAGGTGATTACACAAGTATGATCTATTTTGATTCCATTCCAGCATCCAGCATGTGGAGGCATGTGATCTTGCTTTTCTACCTCACTACACTGCTCTCCAACACTGCCACTGCCAGCAAGTGCCCTGTACCAGAACCATGTGTCTGCCAGAAGAGAGTCACAGACAAGGGGGTGGAGGCATGGGTCATCAATTGTCAGAGGAAAAGGATTTCCCCTTTTGTTCCACAGCTCCAATTAACCAGCAATAATGTGGTAGATGTGCTGGATCTCAGCCATAACATCATAACACATGTGAGGAACAGCCCTTTTATGGGTTTGCAACTGCAGAAGCTGGATTTATCATACAATATAGAGTTGACCCTGTCCGGCTCGGCATTCACAGGTTTAGAGGACTACATAGAAGAAATAAGCATTGATCACTGTGGAATACAAGAAATCCCACAGAGGACATTTCAAAATTTGCGAAAACTTCAACGATTGTCTATGTCGTACAACTGTTTTCACACAATCTCAGGTAATGCATTCATTAACACAAACCTAACTCTCCTGTCAATGACCAAGAACTGCATTGACACCATAGACCCTCTTGCATTCGTAAGCTTAGAGAACAGCCTAGAACATTTATACCTCAGTAACAATGGCATCAAACTGATGCCCTTTGGGGCCTTATCCAGGCTGAACAACATAAAAGTATTAGACCTAAGTGGGAATAAAATTAAGGGAGTATATTTCAAACAGAATTTAACCCATGCAGGTCTCAAGAGCCTTGTTTCTTTGTCTCTGGATGGAAACCAAATCACTGCAATATTTGTAGGAACGTTTCAGCTTCTTGAAAGTCTCCAACATCTGAACCTAGATCATAACAAGATTACCAGTATCTCTCCTATGGCTTTTCATGGTCCAAGACAGTTAAAACACATATACCTCCACAACAATCAGATCAGAACCCTGCCAACAACTGCCTTTTATGGCACAGAGACCAGTCTTCAGCATTTAAGCCTTGGTAAAAATCTGTTGGACTGCAAGGTTTTTGATTCCTTGGAGTCACTAGAAGTGCTGCAATCCCTCCATCTTCAGTCCAACCTTATTGATAGAGTACCTAAGGACGGAATGGGGAGATATGACAAAATAGTCATGACGCTCAACCTTGCAAACAATAAACTTGATAAACTTCCCAGGCGTTTCTTGGCAACCTTCAAGCAACTCAAAGAATTGGATCTATCACAAAACAACATGAGTAGCATTGTATTTGAGCCACCTGGAGAGCACAGTTATCAGCTGATCAAGCTCAAGCTGACTGGCATGGGTTTGAAGGCACTGCCTGCAGGTTTAGTACATTTGGTTAACCTGCAGGAGTTGTATGTAGCACACAACCTGCTTGCAAGCATACCACAAAGTCTGTGGACTAGTCTATCAAAGTTGAGAAAATTGGATCTGTCAGACAACATCTTTGAACAAATTCCAGTAGAATTCTTACAAAATCATCAACTTCTTTCGGAGATCAAAATGTCAAATAATAAATTAAGGGCAGTCCCTGCTTATGTTTTCAAAAACCAAAGTCAACTGAAAACATTGGCTCTGAAAGGCAATGAGATCCAACTCTTGGAGCCTCGATCATTCTACGGCCTTGAGAACTCCCTCACTAGTTTGGATATAAACCATAACAATCTCAAACAGCTGCCTCAGTGCATATTTGAAAGGCTGTCAAAATTATCTGTGTTCAGCTACTCACACAACCCACTGCAGTGTGACTGTGGGCTGGCGTGGCTGGTGGCATACCCAGACACCCGCGCCAGGTGTGTGACACAAGTTGGTGGTAGGAACCGCGTGAGGAAAGTCTCCTCATTCATTGTTCACAGGTGCAAGTACAGTGACAATGCATCCAGATGTAACAGCACAACTACCACAATCATGCAATCTGCTACTGTCTCACCCAGCAAAACATTTGATACAGGACCTTGGAAAGGTTTTTCACTGGCACCTGAAGAGAAGTCTGAGCAAAGGAGAGAGCCAAACTACCCTCACAAGGATGCCTCAACTGTGTACCTTGCCTCACCAGGGGCTATAGTGGACTCTTCTAAACTGTCTCTACAAGTTCTACCTCACTCCAGTTATTCACATTTATCCTGGAAAGTCCACGGGGCCTATCTGGCCGAGACCCAGGGATACAAAATCACATACAGACTGTTTGGAGAGAAAGAAGTCCGTGGCTACCTCTTAGATGGAAACACTATCACTCAGTATAATATAACAGGACTGACCCCTGGGCATCATTACTTGGTGTGTGTGACCACCCGGACAAGGAAGCCCCCTAGTTATCATGCCTGTGAAGAGGTTGTGACTGGCTCAGGCTCATATGGCAGTCTCTCTGGCCTAGCCCACCATAGGTACACCTTCCTTTATATGTGTATTGCATTGGTGGTGGTGTGTGTGGCACTGACTGCAGTACTGATGGTCATGTGCTGTAAGTGGAGGAGGAAGAAAAAGAAAGATGTCTTGACGAAGGTATAAATGGACCTTGTGCCTGTGTGTTTGAAGAGCATGCATTGACTCCAACTGATATATGTTGGATCAAGTTCGTCACCAATTTTGAGACGATTGACATGTATATTAAAGAAAAGATGAGAAAGGCATGCCATCATGAACAGTGGCAATTGTATATCTAAAAAAGTATTTTCAGTTAATGTAATTTGTATTTTGTTGTAAGTTAAGTCCAAATCAATAATTTAATTTATTTTATTATTTGCACAGATTAAAATCTTCTATCCCTGAATTTGAGATCTGATAAAACATCATATTGGCCACTGGCATCATCCTCAAACATGCTACTGACCAATGATATAATCACCAATTTTAGACCAATCTGAGAAAAGGAAATGCCATCAATCAGCCTACAGCAATGTTGGAAAGCTGCAGCTTTTGATTTTATTTAGGAGGACATTGACATTCAGCCATTGAATAACATAAAATAATCATGGACTTTCGCCCTCATTCATGTTGTTTTGGCTTACAAGGTGATATCACTTTAAAAAACTGTTTGCGAAACAACATTAACCTCATCTGAAGTCTGTAATTGTACACATTTTCTAGCCATTAATAATGTAAGTCAAGCTGTTGTCAAATTCAAAGTAATTTGGTTTGTGTCATTAATGATGTTGTAAATAGTCATTGTTTCCTATAAACTGAAAGGTAAACAAAATGTAGCTTTTTATTTTGTTTCTTGAAAATGACTTTATTTTCACTCTAGGCTTTAGATTGGAAAGAAAAATTGTAATTTATTATATTTTGAAAATAAAGAGAGCAATCTGAATGTTCAAAGTAAAATATAAAGGGCTTATTTCAATATTTACTCCAGACCTGTTGATGTCTTTTATGAAATAATAATAATAATAAATAAATAAAAAATTAAACATAATCAGAAATTACCAGAATTGGAAATCTCTTGCCATGACAGTAGACTATCCTTGAAAACATAGGAAAAAAAACTAATTTCTCTTTGTGTCTAGATGTATGCAGACAAGGACATCAATATTACCACTATGCACTGTGTAAACTGTTATGGTATACTTTCGTAATTTATTAGAAAAATAATTTGCCATCAATCCCTCAATTATAATGTATAATTAATCAGCCTGTCAAATATAAAAATAATAGTAGTGGCCTAACCCTCACTGGATTCCTAGCAGTGAAAGTTAGATTTGCAATTGTGCTGTTAATCACAGCTACTGCAATCAAAGCAACTGGTAACCATGAAGTACTGAGCAATGGACTTTTTTTACTCCATGGTGCTATATTGAATTACTATTTATGCTACTGAACCTTAAATATCCATAAATTTTCATAGAAGTGAAAAAGCAAAGGTTCAGATTATCTAAAATATGCAATAAGGGTATACAAAGAACATTCTTCACAAGTCTAAATCAGCAATATAACATGCTATAGAAACCAAACCATTTAGTAATACATAGAGGGTAATACTGTTCTTTAGTAATGTAAGGCCTGATTACCTCATACTTCCTGTGGTGGAACCATAGCCGCCTCCTCCCAGCAGTGAAGACCCTTCCCCTGGGCCGCCATCATTGGCTGTGATAGCTCGCCTATCATTGCTGAACATCTGATTAATGTCCTTCCAGCCTTTGGTGCTGGCACTGGAGATCTGTGAAATATGTTCAAGAAGAAGATTTGAAAACTTTCTATTTCCCCTATGTAATACATGCAAACTAGATGCTAAAAATCAGGTAACGATATCTTTTACGAATATGTTTGTAAGATGTCAGAGGTCGGACAGGTTTTTCCAATAAAGCAAACATAACTGGAGTTAAGAGAGACAGGGATAACGAAAATAAATATGTGATGTTGATTCAACAGACTTGTCCTAGTGAGGACGCTCTAGTGATAAGAGCGAAACGTAGCTGTTTCACAGAATTTTGTTTCAGAGTACTGTAAGTGATTCTCATCACCAAAAATTTAGATCTGTTTAAATTCAAGATTTTGGAACAATGGGGAGTTTTAAGGCAAAATTCTATGTAGTATGAAATTTGCTCAACCTCTATACATATGGCCAAGACACTAACCGGTCTCACATCATGATATAGTCTAAGTAGAGCTTGAGCAATTATCTCACATAATAATGATAAGTTCAAACACATGGTACTTACATGATACTTTGATTTAGGTGCAAAACATTTAAAAGCGCATTGACATCTGTAAGTTGTTTATACATTACTTAAAGGTTTGATTAGATGACTAGTGCTATCAAAAAGAACAATTACAACAATCTCATGAAAATGAAAATAATTTGACATGTAAGACTAAATCTTTGTTATTATTATTATTATCCCCTCTTTAAGGAAAAGAATGCAGTGCCCTCTTTTGTCAGGCAGTAAACAATGGTTTCTGAGCACAGGATTCAAACTACTGTGCATGCGCGAAAAGTGCGCTGTTTGAAATAAACAAATGGTGAAATTGACAAAGCCTGCCGGTATTTACTGTCTGTTTGATTTTATTCAATTAGCTTTCTGGTGTTGTTTTGAGAAATTATATTAGAAATATTTATTATATTATTATATTAGAAATATTAGTGATACCTAATATTTTTTTTCTTTACGTAAGACTATGATACCAGCATTGATTAAAGAGTATCAGAACTTTAACAAATGCTGGTATTAGTAACTTATTGATGGTATTTCCATCTGAAGATCACATGCTATGTATTTACCCTACGTCTTTGTGGCTTGCAATACGTACACACTACACAACACATATATATTCATTACTGCTTTAACTTTTGTTGATTGTATTTATTAAAAAGCAAATCCATCGGACTATTTAGAATAACATTCAATTTCCCTTCATTGTAGGGGGATTCCCTTCGTATTTATTGTGTTATATGTGGCCCCAAGGGGATTTTCCACCCTTCCCCCACTCTTGATCAGGAAAATACTCTTCTTGGCAAATGTGAATGTTACTACAAAATGCATTCGAAAATGTAGGAAGGTTTATTTAAGATAATTCATGTCAGAAAACCCATGTTCACAGGCGAAATTAACCGACATTAGATATTAAACTTAAACTTCACGTTACGACTGACAGATTTAATATCTCGAAAGCGAGGCAATGGCCCTCATCTACAGAAGGGGATTCATAGTCTCGTGAAAATTGAAGTTTTGCTATAACATTTCGAATTGGCAAAATCAAAATATTGATTTGTTATTATTGGAAACTTAAATTATAATAAATACAATCTCACCTCATAAGAAACTTGATGTTGTTGGCCTATTTTTTAGCTTAATTGTTTTTTTTTATAGTCTTTGGAGATTAAAAACACAAAAGCTGTCTGGTTTCGTATCGAGGCACTATGTATTGTTCCTGTGCTTGGTTTCTGTAGATCCCAGCTTCTTCAACAAAATAACATTCATTGCCAGATGTATACCTCAATTTCCTTTAAAATAATGCCTTCTATCTAACCCTTTGATTTTTTCTCGATGTTCATGTTTTTATTTTTATCTAACATTCATTTGAATAGTAGAAGCTTTCTGATGATCTTAATATGTCAATATGTTATTGATTACTAATCATAACACGCATGACCAAATGCAAAACCTTAAAATGATTATTCAAGCAAAATGCCAATTTGATAAATGAAAGTCAAGATGTCTTAAAGCACCTTAGAATTCAGACTGTCTTAAAATTCAGTCTGTACTTCATTGTAAGCAACTGAAACATTTGATGGTACACCAAGTCTATCATGGTGATACCTAATATTTCTTTTCTTTACGTAAGACTATGATACCAGCATTGATTAAAGAGTATCAGAACTTTAACAAATGCTGGTATCAGTTACTTATTGATGGTATTTCCATCTGAAGATCACTTGCTATGTATTTATACCCTACGTCTTTGTGGCTTGCAATACGTACACACTACACAACACATATATTCATTACTGCTTATGTGTCAAATCTCAATAATCACTCAGCTGACTATAATAACAACACATTCAGTAATCATTCACTTCGACCAATATTAAAAAATTAAACAAGTAAGCAGATAAATTTACTTCCAATTGCTGTTTTAGATTTAGACAAAACAAGGAAACGGTCATTAGAAAAAATCTTTGCAGATACTGAGGGTCCGGAGGACCTGTATTACAAAAAATCTGCAGGTCCACCCAATTCTGTGCTGGTCCAAACTTAGCATCTTATTAGGTCTATGATTGCATGCAATTTATCATAATGTACTGGACTTTCACACAAACCTTGCCAGTTCAGAGGACCTGCGACTTAAAAATTTTCGCAGGTCCTCTGGCATTTGAAGCGGTCAAGACCAGTTGGACAG